CAATAAATGCCCTTTTCCTTTTCCTGTGATGGTTGAGCAGGTTTTAGATGTTTATAGAGCAAATTCAAAAGGGCTCATGTTTACTAATAGACTTCCGGAAGATAGCTCCTTGCAGTTTTTGGACCTTAACCTGACAATTTCGGCTGGTCACGTATGCTGTGCGTACCTCCCTCAGAGTAAGAAGGAGTTGTTACTTTATAATTCAGCGCATTCAAAGACTGTGAAGCGCGGAATCGCTCTATTTGCTTAGAGTTGGCACTACGCAGATCGTGTGAGCATGTTATTCAAGCTAGCTTTATGCGTCAACATCTAAGACTTTCCAAGGCCGGCTGCCCTCAGTCCATAGTTACTTCCGTGGTGGAATCCTTGCTGCAGAGGGTGAAAGGCAGAGTGTCTAATGCAAATGCGTGCTCGAAGGCGAGAGAGCGGGTTAAGCCTGAGGTGGTCTCGTATATACACTGTGTGAGCCATAACCTCAAGAAGGTGGCTTCCCGTTATGGTGTTCCGGTTGTTTTTTCAGCTCCCAACAAACTTGCTCAATTGTGCCCACGTATCACATGCGATGAGCAAAGGGGCTGCCAGAAGCAGCACACAAGACTTTTTAGGCGCTGTGCACAAGGCGTGGTATATGGGACTCCCGTAGGCTGTGGCAAGATCTATGTCGGTCAAACGGGGCGTTGCATAAATGACAGACTGAGGGAGCATGCCAATAGTTTAGGAAAAAGTGAGCATGCGCATCTTCCAGTGCACTGTAAAGCCTGCGGATGTGTGCCATTGTTTGAAAGGACTGTGATTCTTGGTAGGAGCAAAAAACAAACAGCTAGAGAGCGCTTGGAAGCCTAATTTATGAAAAAGAAAGGGCCCGATTGTATCAGTGAATCATCTATTGTGTTGTACGCAACAGAAATGCATTTTTTGGATAACTTAGTGCCTTGTTCATGATGCTGTGCGATGTTTGTTGGCTGTGCACGCATGCGCAGTTTTGTCTTCTTTCCAGTGCGTTTCCTAGGCGGTCATTAAACAGTTGGTAGTTGGCGCTGTTCTGTCTTCTCTCCTGCTCTTCCTGCTTCACGTTATGTTTTTTGCGCCTCAGTCTTCTGCACCAAGTATGCGTTTACTTATTTGTTTGATATACACTAATTGGACAAATATACGCTTGCAGTTTACGAAACATTCTCTAGCAAGTTTTTACACATAACTCGTAAATTACTGGCATATTTTAAAGTAATTCATACTAATATGCTGACATATCACTGTAGAATCGTTATACATTTTTTTTTTCACTGGCAGATGTAGAACTGGTAAATTTGGCACCTAGTTTGTTTTTCTGGTCGTTGAAAATTGAATTGTTTGAATGAAAAATGAAACATTGACAGCATCCTAGAAAACAAGCTTTCTATAAGCCAAAAACTTGAACTTTGTTTATCAATGCACCCTCTTTGGCCATCCCTAAATTTTGCATGAGTCTTTACGACATTCCGGAAAACTTAAAAAAAAAAAAAAAAAAGGAACAAGCATCCTCCTAAAATGCGCAGGCTACCATCGAGCAGAAGTGCAAGACATGCGTCCAGAAATAGCAGCGTGTTCATGTTCACAACACTAGCCCTATAAAGCAAGAACACTGAAGTGAGAAGTCCCGAATGATGCTACTCGAATTCCTCCATCCGCCAGTTGACAAGGACATTGTAGTAAGAGTTGCCATGAATATATACATACATAATTATGAAGCAGCTAAGTGGACACTTTTTATAGCCAATAAAAACACAAAGTATCGGCTCACTTGTAAACATGTTGCAGTTTGAGAATCGCATATGGGGTTAATAAACATATGTCTGGCAGAAATTATGCTGGTTGACACACCTTGTGTCTTAACCAGAAGGTGCACAAAGTGAGAAAAGCTGGACTCTGCAATATCAACTGAAGGCCAACAGGCCAGAACATGCAATACGCAAAAATGGACAGAGTGAGTTATAGTGACAACATTAAGTATTCCGCTTGCAATTTGAATAGGAGCTGCATTTCTAATTTGTGCTTGAAAGTCCGGAGAACCAGTGCACCGTGCTGCCTCGGTATTGAGTGAAGCAGTCATCAGATTGCTGTAACTCTCGGTTTGCTGCCTCTCAGCTGCTCCTAGCAGCCGTTATTCATGCTTTAAAATGCCAGTCTGTAATTAATAGGCATCCCTGCTTATTAATTATATGGTTATAACGAGGTAAAAGGAGTTGATACTACAAAGGCAGTACTGCCTTTGTAGTAACAAGTAGAACTACACAAGGATTCATAGAGGCACAGTCCATGCACGGGCCATACTTGCATGCGCAGCCTGTCAACGCAAACTGCCGCAACACAGCCTTGATTGACGAGGCCTCACAATGTCTAGCAGCGTATAGTTGCCATCTCACTCGCCTACCACTGTTCGTAGCAGGCGTTGCGTGTACGACTTTACTGGTGCTACAGACAGAAAAATACTGATACGTGTTTCACAGCATTTTCTGAGTCACTGTTACATGATTAGGCGCTTTCACCGGTAAGCTTTCTGCTGCACCTTAAAAATTGTTGCTTCTTTCAAATCTGAATTTGTTGCAACGCTAGAAGAGCTCGCAGCTGACCTAGTGAGGCAACTCGATTGACCTATTTCCTTCAGACCGCAGAACAACACGCCCTTTTGGAAACACCAAGCACTCGCGCTTTGCATTTGCTGCCTGGAACCAAGCAGTTGCGAGTGGTTCTGGTTAGCCCTTCCTGGGCAGTGGGAAGCCAATACAGAGAAATCAACAGATCTTCCTTCTACAACGTCTGTTAAGGTTCTCAATTTCTTTAGACTGAGGTAAAAACCCAAATAGATTATCTGAAGTGCCACGAAACCACTAACTTAGTTTACATTGGTGCACCTTTAGCATAAAGAGGAAGCCGGGGAAAGTGAAGACGTTTGATCCGCACAACTGCAAAACAATACGTTATGAGAGTTGGTTTCTAACATCCATATTTACAGCGCAAGATAATATCACGGAGAAAAAGGCACATTTGACATAAAGCCTTCCTCTGTCTCGTCACTTCACGATATAAATATGCTAACCAAAGTACCACAATAAACTCGCATTAAGACAAACTTTGTTGAGAAAAATTCTTGCTTAAGACGAACAGCACAAGAATGTTTGTTCGGCTTCCCGTACACTCAATGGCAAAAAGATCTGCTTGAGATGAACAAGATAACAGGCCTCTTCTGAAAAGACGAACTCTTACAGCGACCAACGACGACGGCGATTTTGCACAACAAACATTGTAGGCTTGATAGGACATTCAGGCGAACTAGAGAAAGCAAAACGGGTACAAAAGAAAAAAACTTTCTGGCGCAAGGACTCCAAGCAACAAATGGCAAAGCAGATTGCGACGTGGAGCAAGAAAGCGAGATAAGCAGCAAAGAAACATCAGTGCATAAAGCTGGTATATCCCTCACTTCATATAATCTCATATGAAACTGAAACCACGTTAGCGGCGCTAGCACTCCCATCAGAGGGGTGCACAATGGTGCCTGAGCACATGTTGTTGTCAGTTCATGTTTCACATAGGGCCTGTTCCCAGTGAAATGAAAATTGTGAGGCTCCATTTTTATTATGAAAGCACATGCCAAAGGAAGTTCATTTTACACACTACTTGTGACCGTGAGTGGCGCAAACTGAGATCTTCAGCTTCACAGCTATGAAAAGATACTGTGAGCTGAGAACAAGAAAATGTCCGAACTTCGAAAAAAGCTTGTAGACTTTCTTAAACAACTAGGCATATATTAGCTTTGTCAAGCTAACAGCATGTAATGGAGGTGTATTATCTAAAAGCAACATCAAAGCCAGAAAAACAGGCTCAGGGAAGGTGAACAGCCAGAAGAAATCTTTGCTTCATTAGAAAGAAAATTGTGCTTGTTCCTCCCATTTTTTTTTCTTTTTCTGATCATGAAAATAGGGTGGTGCTACAGTTTTATTGTTAATCTACGAGAAAAATTTATTCACGAGCATATTAACTTGCAAAATCAATTGCTCATTATATTCATGCAAACACTTTACTTGAAGGCATAGTTTTTATCAAGCTGAGCCAAATATATGCTTTTTCTTGTTCCAATGGTGAACTGGCACTGGTGAACGTACATATTCTACATCTGGTTAATAAGCATTCTGTTGGAAGCAATTGCATTGTCCCATCATCTCCACAGCCAGAAGAAATCTTTGCTTCATTAGAAAGAAAATTGTGCTTGTTCCTCCCATTTTTTTTTCTTTTTCTGATCATGAAAATAGGGTGGTGCTACAGTTTTATTGTTAATCTACGAGAAAAATTTATTCACGAGCATATTAACTTGCAAAATCAATTGCTCATTATATTCATGCAAACACTTTACTTGAAGGCATAGTTTTTATCAAGCTGAGCCAAATATATGCTTTTTCTTGTTCCAATGGTGAACTGGCACTGGTGAACGTACATATTCTACATCTGGTTAATAAGCATTCTGTTGGAAGCAATTGCATTGTCCCATCATCTCTTTGTTGCTCGTGTCTTTACTTTTTTTTGTGCGCCACAAGTTTCATGTATAACCAAACAAGAAGCCCACTCTCCCATTTTTTCTCCCGACTACACCAAATACTTAGAAAGATCCAAAATATGCCACATTCTTTGAATAAAGAAAATATTCTATTCCTACTTGAAATTTAAAAAATTTGCCAGCCCCTGGTAAACCACCACAACTCACTTTATTATTTAGTGCACCTTTAGTTGCAAACACTGTTTATTCTTGATGTTTCAAAATTTATGGAAGCGGTGTTAGGTGTGTATTCGGTTCTTCGTGTACACTTTCACTTCATTTAAGCCCTTCAGTTCTTCATGTGCACAGTGTGCTTCCGAGGCATGTACACGACACTTATCATCTCACAAGGCCTTAGCACTCCTCAAGTACGCTGTGCTGCCGAAGGAAGAAGAGCTCGCCAGCTAAAGAAATGAGAGCACTGCGACCTTACCATGGCTTGGGCAGATGCAGAGCATGGGCTTGCTGACCGGCCGTCTGCTGCCTCGTGACCGAGGCTGATGCGCCGTCCTCGCCGCTGCCTTCCTGAGGAGACTCGAGAATGTTGGGAAGCCCCTGCCACAGCAGGCGCGAGTGCGACTCCGGATCTATGACAGAGCCAGGTGGTGGTGTTGCCCCGAGAGAGCGCCCCGTGGTACCCCGCAGATGCCGCTGGTGCAGCTGCAAGAGAGCAGAGAGTTAAAGGGCCAGCAAACAAGCCTAGACTTTTTTTTTTCTTTTTTAAATCCCTCAAACAAAAGTGCCAATTCGTACAGTAGACTGCAGCGATCACAATTTGTGATTATTACAGCGCTGTGCGCGGCACGAACCCTCCCTTTAGAAAAAAAATTCCTACGCCCGTTTTTTTCACCTCACCCATCTCCTTCGTACGTTCAGTGACGCAAGCTTGCCCATGGCAAACTTGAAGTGCCACTGAGCTTGTCGATTGGTCATTTGCCCGACGAAACGGCATCTTGAACCTCCGGTAATGCAGTTTTGGTCGCGCAGCCTACATTTTCATTTCCCTGAGCTGCCGCTCCCATTTTGTAGAACCCGAAACTACTGGGAAAAGCGGTATTGTCAGAACGAAAGCCTTCGAGATAAAGGGACTCCTAGCTACTTTACCAAAGGGGAAAAGGTGCTCCTCGAACCACGCTTTCTCCCCGCGCTGCTATGACACTCCCTCATGTCAGCGGTGCCCTGCTTGATCATTGGGCTGCGTGCTGATGACGTATCACTGACTTCATGCGAGGTCACCGAAGTGAGCAGTCATGACAATAAGCTATGCCTCCCCCCCTCCTTTGGCAGAGAACGATGACGAGGCCCCGCAAAAATTTGAAACGAGCTAAAACAGATGTCTTAACCCCTGTAACTTCCTCATCATAGCACATATTCACAAAATTTCTGGGGCAGCAAGTTCACATAGCAAAAGTGCACATATTTCTCTTCATAAGACTTTTCAGAACTCAGGGTTGTTTCCTGGTCCCTTAAGGCTTGTCCATACTAAAGGCAGGGCGGCCAAAGCTGCAAAGCAGAAAAGCGGGGAAAACCTCCTCTCCAGGCGGCGAAAGCGAGGCGGCAAGTGCGATCACTTTCGAAACAATTTTTCGCGACCCACCGAGGCTCCTCGCTTTGCTGCAGCCAATCAGAACACCTAGCAGTGGAGGCACGGCGGCAGTGCTGGTGTACCTTTGGGAGAAGCATTTCCCTGTGATAGTGACATGTGCGCAAAAGCGCAAGATGCCCGCCTTTTCTGCCGCATGGCCAGCCAAAGGAGGCGTGCAGTCTGAACAGGTGCACGCACACGCCAGCTCGAAAAGCCCACTTGCCCGCTTTTTCGTGCTGCCTTCGGTGTGAACGAGCCTTTAAAAGAGCCATCAGGAGCATGTTGTCCGCACATTTCAGGCAAAAAGTAGGCTTATGTGAATAGTAAATTTAAGGTTTGAAGTGAATTTGAAGTGAATAGCAATTTGGTTGGTATAATTTCAAATTGAATTTGAATAGTTTATATAATGCATATTATAAATAAAAGTGAGCATATTTGTCATGACCCAACTAACCTGCACAATACTTTGCAAAAATAGAAACAAGGCACAAGTACATAGTTAATCAACTGGTGCTGAATGTTGCAAGAACGAAAGCCTTGAAGTTTCCCCCGAAATGCATTTCAAAGAATGCATTTCATATCCGCATTTTATTAATGGTGCTCAGTTGAATACGTTCACTCTTTTACAACCCTAGGTATCTACTTTTCCACAACGATGGCATGGGATGCACACGTTGACTTCCTGTTTAAAAAACTTTTTCATATTATTGGACTTTTGGAGTGGAACAGTGCAACGTTTCCGGTTACAGTAAATCTCCTCTACAAGTCGCTTTTCTCTTCTACTCTCAACTGTGGAGATGTGTAGGGCACAACCACAAATGCGAATATCATGAAATTGCCTCTATTACAAAAGCAAATTATTAGACTAACTTGTAAGGTGCTCTATTTGTCACATGCAGCTGAATACTGCCAAATTTTGTATCGTTAACAGTTCCATCACTATATCAATATAGAATTTATCGTTATTACAAACCATGCACAAATAACTAAGACAATGCCTTGCAAAACTTAGCCAAGTTTAAAACAAATACAGTAGCATAGAACGCCTGTAACCCAGAGAAGTGGGAAATGACTTGATGTCGCACGAATTATGGGAAGCAAATAGTCCATTACCAGCTACCGTCACTGCTAAACCAGTTGCAGAAAACAAGTGACGTCAATATTATAAGGTTAACAATGAAAAAACTCTGCAATACATGTAAATAAATAAGCCAAAAGAATTAGGGGACCCCAAAGCTTCGCCTTTAAGAGTTGAACGCGATAGCGACATCCTGTTCCTAGTGCGCACTTCAAAAACTTAGTGCGTGAAACCTTTTCGAATTCGCTGTGCACCCCCTACGTTGCCATAAGAGAACAGGTGCAGTAGCGTGTGTGCCTTTCGTAGTGGGGCACCGGCTTCAACCCATAGAGCCATTATGATAATCACATAACCTGACACCCGTTGGCAATGGACCCTTGTACCACCGATTATTACTTCAATATTTCAAGTTGCATTGTGAAGAATGTATACAGGATGCGTGTGTTTGTGAAGCATGAACGCTACTTTTACTGCATTTCCAAGCAGAGGAAGCTCTTTTCACTGTTTTCACAAGTAGAGGCTTGGCCACGTGGTAGAATATCCGCTTGCTACGCAAATGACCTGGGTTCGATCCCCACTTTACTCCAGGATTTATCACTTTATTTGCAACGTTCTCGATTTTCCGGTCACTAATAAGATGGTGATTTTGTGCTCACAGCTAACGAGGCCAATGCCAACACTGAAATTTCTGCGAAACGAGCTCAATAATTAATATTGTTAGACACCTCATTTGTAGATATCCTTTCATGGTTCGCAATGGGTATATAGGTTACATTATTTTGTCTTTCTTTTTCTTTTTGAATCCTTTCTTTTTTTTTCACTTACCCAAACTATTTCACATGTTTTTTTTTTTTTCCCTCGTTACGTCCTGTTATACTAATGTTCTACAGTTTCTGCTAATATGTATCAAAAACTTTTGTGTACCTTTGTAATCTGTTCCATGTTGATATTATTATTCGTCCCATTCACTGCCTGCTGCTGTCCTATCAAGGAGGGGCTGTTGCCTCGTCAAGCTAATAAGTGCAGTAGCTTTTTGTGACAGCTCCTAATATTCCTTTCCTCAAAAGATGAATTAACATGATTTTATTTTATTTGAAATGTCATTCTTTTTGGTTCGAAGGAAGTAGAAGCAACTTTAATCATTCCTTTCTTCAAAAGATAAATTAGCTTGATTTTATTTGATTCGAAATGGCATTCTTTTTGATTCGAAGAAAGTTGAAGCAACTTTAATTAGTAGCAGGATTTGACTTTCAGTAGAATGCAAGTGATGACCTGTAAAACGTTATTGCTATCTTGTACATTGGCCGGTACTCGCCTCGTGCATGAACAGGGTGCTGAAGCTCATGTTGGCTGCCGTGGACTCCAGCGACACCTCTGCACCCACAGCTGACGAACTGTAGGGGTCATTGCTGATACAGATGCTGGAAAAGGCATCCACACATGACCCATCAGGAGCAAACTGTGGACCCCAAAAAGCACATTCATAGTACTATTGTAAGAGCAGTCACGGGACGAGATATCAGGTTATTGTTCCTGCACTTGTGCGCATCGTCCTAGTAGCCAGGAGCTAAAAGCAGCAACTCGGTAGAGTAATGATACGATGAATGTATAGCCAAATGTTCAGTGGAGGAGAAATTACACAAAGGCAGATATGTATGACAACACAAACCGAAGCCAGGCTTGCTTGCCTGAACAGCTCACACCGGTCTGCTGTGAGCCAAGTAAAGAACACCAACCATGCAATATGCCGTTGTGCTTGTATTCCTGAACTTATCCATAGCCCGCACAAATATGGTTCAATGAAGCATTTCTGTCACAGGTGCTGTTTACTGAACTACGTAATTTCAAGTTTGCTACATACTGGCATTTTCCCATCATGCACTAGAACTCGCAGCAAGAGGCAACATGCTCATACATCTATCCTGGGAGCCACATTTGCCAAACTTGGTCAAATAAACACCAGCACCCGCATTCAAGTCTGCATAGTACAGGTGACTATGTTGCTTTAGCTGCATGCCTGTAGCACAGTCGCTGGATAAAAAACAAGGTGCAACCTGCTGCGTTGCAATGCCGTCAATGGGCGAATGCGTCTGGGGAGAGTTGACAATTTCGACCGCTCTTTTAGGGCACTGATGCTACACGTGTCGAAGCAGATGGCATTTCACGTTTCAATGCAGTTGCGTGAGAATTTGTGCGTGTCCTTGTACTTTTTCATGTGCTTTCTCGTGCTTATTTTGTGTGCAATCATGCGTGGGGGGGCAGTTTGTCTCATGTTTCCTGTGTTTGAGGACAGTTTTTAATGTGTGCAGTTGTGCAGATCTTTTTTTTAGCGGTGTCATGCAAAGTGCAAAGTGTCTGTTGTGCCGCTGTGCAAGTCAAACACGAAAAGAGACGCTAGCTTGCAGTACCATAAATTTCCCCGAGATCTAAAGCGTCGAGAAACCTTGCTAAATAATAATTCTGGCCAAGCATCGTCAGGGAAAGGAGTAACGCCATTGCTCTCGTATGCAAAGTAGATGCCAGTTCGTGCGGCTGCGGTGTCCCCGCACGATTTGCGAACGTTCGCATGCTTTGTCGAGTGGTTTGTTTGTGCACACAACCACTGCTTTGTGTGACCATATGTGTGGGCAGCTAGACATGTTTTCTGTACTAGGGTACACTTTATTGTGCGTGCGTTTGTAGTAAACGGTGTTTTCCACTGGTGTGATGCCGCGAAGCTGTTGTGTGCCGCCACGCAAGTCCAATGTGTGGTCGCCGCAGGATTTATGAGCGTGTGCTTTGTCGTGTGGTTTGTTTGTGCACAACCACTGCTTTGTGGGCCCAATTATTTTCGCAATAGAACACTCATTTACAGTTCAGGTAAATCCAATGGGCAGCAATATTTGAGGCCTATACTGTATGAAAAATTGGTCTTCCTAGGGCAAAGTGTTCACACATGTGCTGTAATAGGTAGTGAAACCTCGTTATAAGGAAGTTGAAGGGGGAGTCGTAGTTACATCTATAACCATCAGTCCACAATAGGTAATATCCATTTCTACTGACAATTAGCCAGCAAGAGAGAATGTACTCTCCAACGAATATCACAGCTGCCCTCTGCGCAGATTTAAACAGCCGTCAGAAGGCAAAAAACTAGCAAAATAATAAAGAACAATGCACTTTATTTTCGCAAAATTCGGCACACCAGCTGACAGATCACTTCGAAGAAAAATAGTCCTCAATAGACTTTTGCCGACACTTCCTCAAGCAAATGACTGCTTTTTCAGCTGCAGCAGCTATTTCCAATCCATGCTCGCGACATCGTAAGCACCAAAGAAGCGGCACAGCAGGTCTGTCGCATTCAGAGCTTGCACAGGCGTCAGTACGCCGGGTTCGCCAACATTAGGCTTCGGGGTGTCGCTATATTCGTCACTGTCGTCCACGCACGTCCGTCCCCTCGAGCCCCATTTCCGCATCGGACAACGCTTTGGTTGTCACCGCGTCAGCATTGGCACCGACATACACGCAGAGAGTGTTGCAGTCAGGCACAACGCCGGCGTCAAAGAGAGCGTCCCACAACGTCTGGGCCTGTTCACCCGCGGCACCCACACATAGCTGAAATTTTCGGCAACTTTTTTTTTATTGATGCTAGACTCAAGGACTTTCAACATTGCAGACCTCTGCTCGATTGTTATATTCTTGCGCTTACATTTGCTGCTGCCATTGTCCATCTCGTGTCTAGCGGCAGAAACTGATGGAGGTGGTGTTGCTTTTCCACAACGAACGACAAAGAAGAAAGCCACGATCGCCGCCACGGCAGAGGTGCGCGAGGCCCCAGGGCGGAGCTGAAGGGGAGAAGAAGCTCAGATGCGCGGGCGGGTCAACAAGTTCTACGGGAGAGGGGAGGCCAGCTGACGCGAACACTCGCGCGAGTTGCTGCACAGGTGAGTCCATTAGTTCCAGAGGAGAAGGGAAGCGAGGAGACTCGCTCCCACATGCTAATGGCAAGCAGCTCCCGGGAGGCACAAGGCATGAGTTTTGAATTGCTACGACCATGATGAGACGTAAACCGTCGCGCGCTATAAGATATTGAGAATTGACATATACCAAAATAATCAGTAAATGCTCATTGTGGACGAGGAATGGTTCGTTATATCCATTGTGGGGAAATTTCCACTGTGATAAAACGAGGTGTTAAATGTGACTATGGGAATTTCAAGGGGAATAACGATTGCTTCGATATATATAATAGTCCATTATATCCCGCTTTATTATAATGAGGTTTAAATGTACTCCTAATAACGATTCAGAATCTAACCTGTGATGTGTAGCTACAAAACGCCTTATTTGCGGCTTACTGTGTCATGTAAAAATGTGTGTGAAAGCATTTCTCTTGGGAGAAGCGGTGGCGCCAGAGCGGACGTGAACGTCCCGGCGCTTCAGCGGCACACAGCAGGCCACACCTTGTTTTTTACCCAGCGGCCGTGCCTGTACCGCCAAACATACTCTCTTGCAGGTGCATAGAAGCCAGTTTGTATACCCAAGCACACACATGCCTGAAGTCCGAGCGTCATGGCTTACCTGTTAAGAAGGCTGGCATGACTCGGCGTTGCCAAGGGTCCCTCGGTGCGAGAGATGCCACCGCGGATGCGCTCACCCGCCATCACCCCCTGCGCTGCTGCAGTCACGGAGCCCTGATCACTGTGCACCATACGCGAGCCCACCAGACTGCCGCCGATATAGACGTTGTTCCGCAACACACTCGACACCATCTCCGAGTACTGCACACATTGCCATGGGGAGAAATGCAACACATTGAACTAAGGAGGTTTTCGATATATTTGTCTGTTTCGCTGTTTAAGTTAAAATGCTGAAAACAGTAATAATTGTTGTTTCATATGTGAAATAATAAGTCAGTTTGTATGCACACTAGGCCATCATGTTCAAAATAAGTTATTGAAACTATCCTTTAGACAGTTTTTTTCGTGGCACTACAGACCTAACTGTATTAAATGTCACTGGATTATGCACATGTTGAGTAGCTCAGCCAATGCAAGTTTCGTGGTTCTGGCTCCCCTGGAACAAGAGTTATCAAACTTCAGAGTACCCACATGAATGACTGAAAGTATATATTTTCTTAAGTAAACATTTAAGACTTCCAAAAATAAAGTGTGCAAACTTTTGCACCAATTCATCTCTCTAGCCCAAACAAAAATAATCAGAGCTGAAATGTTCCAAGGCTCAGAAAAGCTTGCTAGTAGGCCGGCAGGTTAAAAAAAAAAAACGATGAAGAAAAATAACAACATACAAATCAGTTACTGATGTGGTATAAGAGGCTATTACGGCTAAAACAATGACTGAAAAATTTATTTTTCATTTTATGCAACCTTTGGTCTCAAAAATCAACTTCCCTGACATAGAGGTAAGATATATTTCAATATTGCAATCATACAGTGTAACCCATTTGCAAGCAGCAGTGTATACCTTTCCAAGATGGGGTTAAAATTTAAACAAAAAAAGAGAGAGAAAAAAAATACGCAATCTTCTGGTACAGGGAACCACATGTAGATGCGAAGCAGCGGGCACCAACGCTTATGCTAGTGGCAGCGTTGACGCTGCCGCTTATTGCCGTTCTGCCCAGGAAAGAAAGCGCAAAGCACGCAGTGATGGACAGGTGTTTCCTACTGGAACATGGCAATCGCTGCTAATGGGAAATGAGAGACAGAAGACTTCAACTGGATACAGAGACCCCCAGTCTGCTTTTAGTTATTTCACACGCAGCAAATTTTTATTGTTCAACAACGCACAGAAAAAATCTCCCACCAGCACTACCTTGGAAGTGAAGATCCAGTCCCTATATATACGAGGAGGCCAGTGAACGGTAGAGCAGCGCGAGCAGCCGTTTAATTTTTTTTTCCTTCAAGCAAAAAACTCGCTAGAAGATGCTGCCTGTGTCGACGCTGCGAGGCAAGAGAGAAGAGAGGAAGGGAAACGCATGCGCAATGACTGTGTAAACGCTGCGGAGAGGAATGCCTCTAGAGGAGAGGGAGCGAGCATAAACTAGCAGACACTGCCTGTTTCGGCGACTTGAACAGGCCACTATTGGAAGGTGAACCTGGCAACGTCAATGCGTATCTCCACTAGCGAAGCTATGCTTGCAGAGCCACTGAAAGAGTTGGAAGGAATAGCTTCTTAATACTACACGTGTGGCTCACGTGTTCCAAGTTGTTGATTATTTGGTCCTAGTGGAAAAAGGTGGGGTAGGTAGGTGTTTAGATGCCGTTTACACTAATGAAAATTATATTCAGTAAATGTCTAGCCGCACTGGTCCTTACCTGTGAAGAGCTGAGCAAAGGTTTTATTAGATTGCACGATTCAAAACTAAACTTGTGCTGTTGGCAACGTGAACCCCGTGTTATGAAGCCTATTTTACCACATGAATCAGTGCACTCAAGGGCAGTAAAAAAGCCATCGTCCAATTCTATAGAAGTTGTGGGGGTGCTGACACCCCCCCTGTAAAGTTGTCTGCGCCGCGTGGCGCACGTGTCTCGCCCCAGGGCGTTATTTCGGTGGTGACCACCACCGGGCGATAGATGGCGTTGTGTTCGCTCTGAGTACCACTGTTGGTAGAGTGGCAGCGCCGGTGGTGGCCCCTGGCGGAAGGCGGGCCTTGGTGGTGGGCGAGCGTTGAGCGAGCCTCTTCTGCGCGTGGCGGCTGCCGCGAACGGTTGTCTGTAGCGCGGGTCCCCGGTGCTCGGCACCGCGGGCTTCGCGCCGGGGTCCCGCGTGTAAGGTCAGGCGTTGGCGACGCCGCCTTGGGTATGTGCTAGTGTGTTGGGTGTGTTAGTGTGGGTTTATCATGTTATTGTGTGTTTAGTGTGTCCCTGCGTTATGTTGTTTGTATGGTAGCGTGTTAGTTGAAATTGGTGTATCATTCGGCGGACGATATCGTCGTCTAAATTAGTTAATAAATGTATGTATGTTGTGTACCTGGTACCGACCGTGTCCACTGTGTCCGTTCACTCCAAGAGCGTGGCGTGGCGATGCGCGCGTTCGCCTCGCCGAGACCCCCACACTGGCGCCCAACGTGGGGCTCTTGGAGTATCGGACGACAGTTTTTGCGGTTCGGTACAGGAATTTTGTTAGAGCCAGAGTAGAGTAGGCCTAGGGGGGACTTCTTTGCTGGCGTCGGTGGTGTGCTTTGTTGAGAAGCGAGGGGATTGGTTTTGTAATGTGTTTCAATTTGTCGGCAGGTTGACTTTCTATTTTTTTTTGCTCACAAGTGTTGTTATTTTTTTGTTGTTGTTAGTTTTCAAAAACGTTGTTGAATTAGGACGAGAGCCATGCGGTCCGCATCCTGGGGTGAGCAAGGCCTAGAGCACGTGGTTTGTAGGCCAGGCCCGAAGCGAGTGAGTACGGAAGCCTCGTGGGTGGTCTGATTTTCTGTGAATAGCTTCTTCGATCTCTTTAGGCTCAGGGAGCCGGGCGTCGTTGCTGACTTGTATTGCGGCTCGACGCCGAGGCGTCGTGACACCGCCCGGGGCGGTGGACGCCGATCGCTCGGTAAGCTGCTGTGTGCGGCGAGCGATAGGGCCACCTCACAGAGTGGACGTCTCCTCGCGGCTGCCTCTTCTGCGCCTAGGCTGGGTGCTGGGTGGATGCCGGTTGTTGCCGAGCGACTCATTAGGCCTAAGGCTCTGCACAGCCGCCTGTCGCACGTGGCACAACTAGGTGGATCGTGGCGTTGAGGTGTTGCGCTCTGCTTCCCTCACTTTTTTTTTCTTGTGAGCATGAGTTAGGAAAAGTGATTTTTGTTTTATTTTGATGGGCGTCTCGGCCGCCACCGATGTATTAGCCAGCAGTACTGACCACCGTACCACGTGGCCGAAAAGCCTGAAGCTCCCTCTTCTAGGCCGCGCTCCTTTGTTTCTTTCGAGTTTTGTTTTTTGTTGATGTATTCAGCGGGAGGGATGTCATCCACGGCCGGCTGTCCTGCATATCGTCAGCGTCGTTGGCCAGGAATGCGGTCGTGAGGTCGGGCGATGGAGATGCCTAGGACCTGCGCAACTGCCTGCAGTCCGGCGCCCTCGCGAGTGCTGGTCGCAACTGGAAGACGTGTCGGCGCTAGCGACGGATCGTCGCGCCGACGGCAACGTTGCTGTTGCGGGGCCGGTACTGAGGTGAAGCCTAGCCGGACAGTGCAGCAGTGTCGACCGGCGGCGGTGTCGTGGTGCAAGGACATTATGGTTGTGCGATATCATTTTTTTGTTAAAGCTTGTGTAGCTAATTTCTGATTTCGGGATATGGTTTGATTTAAGGTTGGGGGAATGTGGGGGTGCTGACACCCCCCCTGTAAAGTTGTCTGCGCCGCGTGGCGCACGTGTCTCGCCCCAGGGCGTTATTTCGGTGGTGACCACCACCGGGCGATAGATGGCGTTGTGTTCGCTCTGAGTACCACTGTTGGTAGAGTGGCAGCGCCGGTGGTGGCCCCTGGCGGAAGGCGGGCCTTGGTGGTGGGCGAGCGTTGAGCGAGCCTCTTCTGCGCGTGGCGGCTGCCGCGAACGGTTGTCTGTAGCGCGGGTCCCCGGTTCTCGGCACCGCGGGCTTCGCGCCGGGGTCCCGCGTGTAAGGTCAGGCGTTGGCGACGCCGCCTTGGGTATGTGCTAGTGTGTTGGGTGTGTTAGTGTGGGTTTATCATGTTATTGTGTGTTTAGTGTGTCCCTGCGTTATGTTGTTTGTATGGTAGCGTGTTAGTTGAAATTGGTGTATCATTCGGCGGACGATATCGTCGTCTAAATTAGTTAATAAATGTATGTATGTTGTGTGCTTTGTTCCGACCGTGTTCACTGTGTCCGTCACTCCAAGAGCGTGGCGTGGCGGTGCGCGCGTTCGCCTCGTCGAGACCCCACAAAGTGTTCTGACAAAACTGCTATCGCAGCATTGCTTATAGTTTCCAGAAGCAAACATGCAGCCTCACAGCAGCAGGCTTTCCAGATCATATCTTAACTTCTATGGCACTGAAAGATATCGGTACCAGGTCACAATGGACAACAAGTGAGCGATGCTGATTGGGCACTTTTGTGAAAAAAAAAATAATGGTCATGCCCTGTATTCACTCAATTGAACATTGCGTAAATAAAATCAGGAAAAGACCTCATGTTACACTGGTATTTTCTGCACTTGAAAAAATAGTGAGCATTGTGGTTTGCACCCGGTGCAAACAAAAATGAGGCTGTGAAAAACAACCCAAGAAAAAGTTTGTTCGCTGTGCTGAAGGAATGGTTTACTCCGTGTGGCAAAAAAGTACAGCATAGACAGCTTATGACATAAGTCGCGAATATTCGCACTAAAAGCAGTACAGCACTATGACCAAAACAACCTCTTCAAGGGCTACAGTTGTGCAAGACGTGTTGAGCATGCAGCCTCTCGTGTCCGAGAATCGAAGCATGCGATGCGCGGTGCTTACATCCATTTAAATATCTGAAATATCCAAAAACCCACATTGACAACGAACTAAATGCTAAGAGGAAGAAGCAAGGGGGGGGGGGGGGGCTGCTACCAAATTAAAGAACCAAGAACTATGGCAGAAATTTGCCGACTACTACTCAGATTGCCTTGGTCATGCACATTACAAAGAAACTATGTCGAATAACTTCCGAAATTTCGCAGACTGAAAGACCCCAATCGTTTGATTTCACGGGCGCACACCAGATTTCAAGACATCGTAATTAAATTGTGCCCCATCATTGGAGGGCTACACGTGTGCAAGGAGTGCAGTGCGCGCCTTGGAAAAGTGTGCAACAGGAGAAGAATGAAGAATGCGTGCAAACGGTGTCCGAGGCAGAAGAAGATGGCGGTGAAGACATCACGTGCGAGAGAAGGAGGATGCATGGTGCAATGGGGACAAAATAAAAGAGAACCAATGGGCAATGACCACAGAGATTCCAGGGACCAATGGCTCCACACCACAAAACGTCAACATTGCCAATTAGAACGGGACAAGTGGGCCAGAGTTCAAGGAAGATCTGAGCCAGAGAAGGGCAGTGGAGTTCGAAGGGAACTTGGTGAGCGGCAGGTTGTCACCAGACTGGGCGCTGAAGATGGCTGTCGTATTCGGACCCAAGCCTCCATGACTTCAAACGGCTGGGGCCTCTTGCCGGCACGTTCCCAATTGAAAGCACCGTAGCTATATGGTCCTGCTGCAGCCCAGGACCTGTGAACTTCGGTGACCACAGGCAGGCAAAAGCAGTCGGGCTATGGGCTCGAGCTGAGCTCCCAGCTGCCTGACCAGATTGATTGGCTTCTCAATGCGTTGCCAGCAGCCAGCGCTCCCTCATCCCCAGCCAGACAGCCAGCGTCCTAAAGCCGGGGCCACCGCGTTCCGGTTTATTCATCCACTGAGCCTCAACTTGTTAGTAAGACTGAACTGATATCTAACGCTACTTTGCCGCTAACCTGTGTTCGAACTGAATAGCTTAGTTTAGTGAATTGACTTGTATTATGGTTGTTGCTCTCAGTGTTTTAGCATGTCCTGTGAACATTTTATTGTTTCATTCTGTGGGGATTTTTGTCTCTTTATCTTTCAAACATTCTGTGAGGGTTTTGTTAAAACCAAACGGCTTTGTCCTTCCTTAAGACCCTCATGGGCTCAAATCTAGAGAGCACTCCCTAACCCTAAAAGAACCTGCATTATAATATGCGAACCTCATTTCCATGGACAATATGCATTCTTCCCTTCAAGTGCAGCTACCACAAAGAGTTCGGTTGATTACTGACCAGTGTCAGTTTCCGTTTCAAAAACGACGAGCCTCCGGGTGCAACTACACTCAAAACTATTTATAGCGACGTTCCATCTTACACAAACATAGGTTCGTTATATCAGAAAATTCCAGATATTATATCAATCACAAGAGTATTCTTCAATTACTTTGCTATAACCGATATTTCGTTATACCGTATTTACTCGCATAATCCTCGCACTTTTTTTGGCGGAAAACGGGTGCAAAGTTGGGGGGTGCGAGAATTACGCGTGGAAAACTTTCCATGAAAACCTACAGAGCTAAAAAAAAACGAAGTGGCCGCAAATCAGGATTCTCACACCAGCAACTAACAACAAGCTTTGAGAAGTACTCATTAAAATTGACCTCAACAATAAAAGCAGAGGTTCAACACAAGGCAAAATTTATTCGACACAAAAACTGCAATCAAATAGTCGAGAATTAGAATGCCATACGCAAAGCTTGTGTGCGTTCTGGGCGTAGCTGTAGCGTTCGTCGCTCAACAGGAGCCCTCAAAAGGTAAGCTTAGCATGTCAGTACTGGGCTGATGTTTATTTAACAGAATCGTCCGCAGTTTCTTCCTGAAGAAGTAAAGTTTACCATCAATCTCAGTCTTGAGCACACGGCAGGCCCAACGCGTCTTGGTGGCTTTCAGCTGCCGTCACCAGTAGCGAACACAAAACTTGTCGATTCCGAAGTGCCTAACGGTGGCCCTGTTTGTGTTTGGTGCACGATCAATCACTTTCAACTTGAAAGCAGCCGTGTAGCTTCAGTATCGTCTCATAACGTGACAGGATTACCGACACAACATACAAAACACGCCGCAAGGCGCACTGCCGCTTTGGCTTGGCTTGGATTAGACTGAATCTCCGTGAAATAATAGTACGCCTGATGCTTAAGAGATGGCGCCAAATGGCGTGCGCTATCATCATCAACGGCTGGAACAAGCAGACGACATTATTGCGGCAATTTTTGGGGGTGCGATAATTACTCGAGGAAAAAAAAATTGTATTTTTGTTGAGCGATGTGAGGGGTGCGAGGATTACGCGAGTAAATACGATATCTCGGTTCGTTACATCGAGGTTTGAGTGTATCAGCACCTAGCGAGTTCATTACGATGTAAATGTAACGAAAAAAAAAGCGAGAACAAGAAAGGGAACCCCACATGCGCTTACAACTGAAAGCCTTATTGCTTGAACAAAAAACATATAACATCTAAACTTGACTCGACTAAATCCGGTGCATGGGCATCGTGGGCGAAGCAAAAGGCAAGAAACCAAAACAAGAGCACACCTCCTGCACCCCCCTCCCCACTGGTCTATCCCCTTTCCTCGAGTAGTATCACTTTTTCGAATAAGGACAAAGAAGGATTAATAATACACATAGCAGCCCTCGCGTTAATATGGAAAGCCTCGGCAAGTAATCGTGCCATGTGATCGTGGTGTCTAAACAAGATCTCAGTCATGAGGAATTGTGCATTGCACTGGCACTCAGTGTAGTGCATGGCCATGTGCGTTAGGGGTCTCCCCTGCAAGAAAGACAGATACTCTCCAAGACGTATGCTTAAACATATTCCTGTCTGGCCAACATAGACACAACCAAATGACAAAGGGATGCAATAGACGACGTTGGTCCTACACGACACGAACCTAACCTTGTGGTTAATGGAGCAACCATGCGTCCTGACATTATCAAGCTTGTTGCCGACCATTGCACATTGTCTGCCTAGCTTGTTATTAGCAGAAAAAAACCACCCTCAGGCCAAACCGCTGGGCCAATATGAAAGCGAGTGCACATATGGAGTAACAGCCATTTTATCATTATGAATCGAATTCTGGCTGCGTACATAGATATCTTTTATCTATTGGATGAAGTGCTGGCAGGTGATTAGTATCACTGAGACACAGAAGGCTACGTTTTTAAGACGATCCGCCTGCTCTTGAAAGCTGCGCAGAACGAAATGCGTACAAGATCTGACAGCAAATTCAAGACATGAAAGAGCAATGCCGTTTTTTAGCAGCTTAGAGTGGAAAGAACGGTAGCGCTACATTTACGCCGTAATGAATCGGTACCTACTCGCTCGCCTCTCCATTCAACTTTCAACCACGTCAGCACACAGAATTGTGACACACTTTTGCATGGTCCGCATCAAGAAGATTTTTTAAACAAGAAACGAGACAGCAATGTCTCCAAACACAAAACTTTCAACATAAATGCCGCGGCCACGGACTTGCGAGCAGCTGACAAGTAATTAATTAGTCTGGTGGAGCAAAGGTGGCAAAAAAAAAAAAGTGGCTAAGACGTCATTATAACTTCTTGCAGCGTGGTCACGTGAGGGAAGTAGTTGGGTCATAAAGGTCACCTTTGAGGAGGTTGATTGCGCGAAGAGAGTCTATCTCTCACGCATACTTCAAAATAAATATAGAATTCCTTCAAAGCTATATCACTCTTTATAATTTGCAGATTATACACCATGTTACGGGAATCGATCCTGTAGGCTACCTGGGTCATGAAATTTAGAGTCAGTACCCCTCTAAACATGAACCAACTCGCCGAAGCAGCAGTTCCAGCCTTTCTTGGATCTCAACGGAGTCACGTTCCTAGGGGACGTTCTTGTTTTTCAGGACAGAGTTAAGTATCTGCTTACACAGGCCTATTCTTTTGGCGATGTCTGCCTGTTTTCTGCCACTGTCGACAGCGTTAGTTATGCTTAATATATGTGACAGTGATACCTGCTTCCTTTTGTGTTTAGCCATTTCACACAATCGTGCAGCCAAATCCAGTCACTAGTTGCACAAAGAAGATAACGGATGCAGTGAGCTGCTTTTAAATGTCACTGGATTGGTTTGGTCGCACCAGGGGTTCGTTAGATGACAACAATGTTGCCAGACATATCAGTCGTTTTCTGGCTAAGTGACAAAAAAAGCATATCGGATGTTTTCATCCTAAACCTAGTCTGTTATAGTCATTAGCCCACTATGATAGGGTCCATTGTGAGCATACTGGATACTACTTAAGATGCGTGGTGACCCCTGTGGGTATGGCTTACTGTAGTTGGAAGACTGTTGCTGCTGAATCTGTTGTAACGAGGGAAGACTGTATGATATCGACTTGGAAACAATGGAGGACAAATGCCACTAGAATTCGCAGAAAGCAATTGACTACATACAATAAACACCTCCATCAGAAAGCATAGAAATAGACAGTCAGCATGGAAAACCCCTAACAAGGAAACAAAGTGCAAGATAAGTTTTATAATATGTGGGGATCTAAGCACAATGCAAGAAGTAAAGAGATTCATGAGGACAAAGTTCGAACTCAATCTACAAGGAGCAAGAATGATGATAGCTGAAAAGAGGCCAACTTAGAGGTGACAATCAGGGTAAAAACAGAGCAATTTATAATTGCAGTGAAGAACAAATACTAGAATGCTTTAGAACATGAAGAATATGAAGACAGAGGATATTAACGAAACCACATGTACAATAATTTCTTGAGTAGAAAGTGAAATTGATCTTCATTATCAAGCTAGCAATACACTCCCGATCAACAGAGCGAATCCAGTGCATGCACTTCTTCAGGCCTGCTACACAATGCTTTAGTAAACATGCCCAGTATTTCCTTGTACAATCAGGTGCAACTGTTTGAACATAAAATGTAAGGTTTTTGGTCAAGCTTTATTGAGAATGAAGTTCCACCTTAATTGAAAATGCCAGTAAACTCACTTCATTGTTGATGCCTGAGAGGGAGTTGAGTGAGTGGTAAAGCACGGTGTCCTCTCGGTGAACAGTTGGTAGCCGTGTTGCTTCAGTGCACACTGCAGAAAGGAAGCAATTAAACACGCAGTGTTGCACAAACCAAAAATGATCAGCACTGCGCATTAGTAAGGCATTCAATATGGTGTTGCCATAGCTGAGGAACTGTTACAGCAGGAAAACACAAGGCGAACTTGTATGTTGAGAATAGCTAGCATACTTGTGAGCAGCTTTCAAGTGTGTAATTATTTTCCTAGCACATTACATACTGTTTAAAACACTGAACATATCATGTGGCAGTTTGAGATTAATCAAAAACTGAGAGACTAGGACTTAAATCAGCACATCACAATAATCTGAAATTAGAACTGTATGAAGCAAAACAACAATGGCTGCTCTAAAGAAATTTGAACAAATGTATTGGTGTGACGAACATTCATGGTTAAAATCTGTGGGGATCGAGAGCGCCCTCCTACCTGGCGCCTCGTTCCCCAGCTGCCGCGCGCGCGCCGTCCGCGTAGCTCGGGCGCACATAAGCACCGGCATTTGCCAAGATGGCTGCCAGGACGCCTCTTGGTCTGGGCGAGTCAAGCCTTGTCTCCGTCCCGCGCTGGCATGTCCGGGCACGATACGTGGGCCTACGTCACAACGCAGCGCCATTTCCCTTGGGCCGCGCGTGACATCCTCCTCTCCTACGAGCTATGTTGCGCCCGATGATTCGCTCGTCGCGGCAGATGCTCTCAGGCCTTCACGAGGGTTCCCGCGCTGCTCAGCAGGCGGCTTCTTGTTCGTGCATTCAACTTCCGCCCTTGTGCGTGAGTCGTCGCGCCGTAGGCAAGCGTACTTGCTCGGTCTTGCGGAGTTCCCTATATGGCTTGCAAGCCTGTGAGTGTCGCACAGTGCTGCATCTTGGGTTGATAAACCCAACGTTGTTATCATGCCTCGTGCGTGGTTTTTGCGCCGCGTCGTAAAAAACGACAAACCCGGCCGCAGCGTCGTCGCATGCAGCGGCAGTGGAGGACGTCACATCCCTACACAGTTGCGCTTAGTAGGTAAGCCTACTGCAAACCTATCTCCACAAATCAAACATCCATCCTTGTTTATTGCATACAGTTTTCACTGCAGATGATTGTGGCATACCGATTTACTTTGAAACTACCTCAGTTTAGGAAAATCTTGCTCACTAAACATGACACATACCTGCCAAGCTCAAGGATTTTGAATCCGGGAGGATTCCGCAATGACGAAGAGATTTCCGCCAACTATTCCCCTCACTCTCTACGTATGCTTTGCAATGCATGTTTGATATTGGGAGTTTAGGTTTCACTATCAGTCGGTCACACTTTTACTGTTTCCTTGCGGTAGGCTAGAATAATTATACATGCGGCGAAATTCAAGCTCCGTGTTTTTATAAAGTTTGCCGAGGAAAACGAGAACCGTGCCGCCACCCAACACTTCAGCAGGAAGTTCAACGTGTGATGTTTGGTATGAGAGAAAGCAGAAGAGTGCGTGCTTAGGAATTGAAGCTTCCTGTTGTTGAGGACCTTTTTCAATTACAGTTAAACCTCGTTATAACGAAATTGGAGGGCCACCGCTATTTGCTCGTTATAACCAATATTTCGTTATAGCCGTAGCGGGCATTTACCGCAAATATTATGCACTGTACTTACCCCAAAAAAATAGCGGGCGAAATAGTATCCCGCCACACGGTGGTATGCAACAAAATAACCACATTCCCAAATAAAAAAGAAAAAGTCAAGCACCTGTTTTAATTCACTTCAATATACACAGCTTGCATTTCAGGCAGACTTAGCTGCAAAGAAGTCCGTAATTGGACGTTGATGCATCTTCCTGATGCGAACGATGGCTCGCTCAGCTGCGGCCGCAATGTTCAAGCCATCTTCGCCGCCCTCGTGAGCGCTGAAGTAGCGGCGCAGTACGTCCACCGCGTCTAATGCCTCCGACCCCGTCTGCACGTTTGTCTCCTGTTCGTCGACAGAGTCATCGACACTGGTTTCGTTACGATCACTGACAGCGCGCACAATATCGTCATCCAGGAGCTGCTCCGTTGCCACCACTTCCGAGTCCGCACTCACATAGTCGCAAAGCGACTCGCTGTCAGGCACGACACATGCATCACGAAGTGCCGTCCATGATGCAGCGACTTCGTCTGATGGCTCACCGCTGGCGTCTGGTGCGGCGGCAAATGAGGCATGTCGAAAGCAGTTTGCGATCGTGGTCGCCGTCACACTCATCCACGCCACCTGAAGCATTTCGAGCGCAGCGTACAAGTCAACATCAGTGTCTCGCTTCATCCTCATGTTGAGCAGGAGCTTGTCTATCACACGCTTGCGGTAACATGCCTTCAGCGACATAATCACGCTTTGGTCAAGCGGCTGTATTTTTGCTGTGCAGTTGGCAGGAAGGAACAGCAGCTCGATGTTTTGAAGCACGGCAGCGGTATGGTGGCCGGTGCAGTTATCTAAAACAAGGCACACCTTGCGGTTCGCCTTTGCCAGCTTCTCGTCCCATTCGCAAAGCCATTTTGAAAAAATCTCCCTGGTCATTCAGACTTTGCGATTGGCTACGTACTTGACTGGGAGCTGCCTCTTCCCCTTAAAGCAGCGAGGGGATGCACTTTTGCCAATTACAAAAATTGGCAGCTTCTCAGAGCCAGTCATGTTTGCACAAAGTAGCGCAGTGATCCGCAGCTTACTTTGTTTGCCGCTATGGCACAGCTCGCCTTTGAGGGCTAACGTCTTGTGTGGCAACATCTTGAAAAACAGGGCGGTTTCGTCCGCGTTAAAAATATCCTCCGCGCTGTATTTTTCTAGCAGCCGCACGATGTTTTCTTTCGCCCACTTGGTAGCCTCTGCTTCGTCGACGGATTGCGATTCGGTGCAGACCACTCTCCCGACAATGTCGTGCGCTCCTTGAAGCGTTGGAGCCAACCCGAACTTGCTACGAAGTTGTCATAGCCCATGATGCAGGCAAAGTCTCTCGCTTTTCTTTGCAGCAAGGCGCCGCTCACCGGCAGATTCACGGCCCGCGTGTCCAAGAACCGTTTAAAAACGGCCCTTTCGACCGCTTCAAAGGCAGGTGCCTTCATCCTCTTAGCGCTTCCTTTCACGCCACGTGCAACAGCGTCGACGATGGACTCCTGCTTGCTCAAGATGGTTGACAGTGTGCTCGTCGATACGCCAAAGTCTCTTGCCACGTTGCCTTTCTTGGTCTCCGATTCGACGGCTCTTATCATAGCCGCCTTCTGATCTAGGGTTATGCGCTTTCGCTTCCCGCCTGGTGCATTCATGTTGATGGAATCACGAGCACAGCACGATAAAAGATATGGCGGAAATGGTCGAAAAAGAGAAGAAACATGCACGCAAAAGCAACGAGGCTCACGTCGGTCAGCAACAACACTTGCGGAGAAAGTGACTGTGAAGAGGAAGGGGCAGAAGGGGCGCTCTTTTGTGCTGCCCTCTAGGTACCGGTTACTCAAGGGGAAGGGGGTATGTAAGATTAAGAAGCACACCTCAGCGCCATGAGAAAGGGGAGAGAGAGAATATAAAGAAGACACAAAAAAAAAAGAAAAGGGCGAGACATTCGCCGAGCGCTCCGCTGTCGGTGGTAGCCAAGCGGCGCACGTGCAGCGACCTCTCCTCCGAAAACAGCGCGTGCAGTCTGCTTTACGCGCGTTGCTGGAGGGCGCGAGGCGGGAGTTTTGAACTACTAAATACAGTTCTCGCGTTGCGCGCCGTCTCAAATTCGCATTGTGCACTGTCCTGACATCAGCTCAAAATTTTACTTTCTAACAAAATTTGTTCGTTATATCCCATAACAGGCAAATTTTGCCTCGTTAAAACGAGGTTTCGAATACATTGGTTTGTATGGGGACATTCAAGGGGAATTAGGATTTGCTCGTTATATCCATTATTTCGTTATAGCCCGTCTCGTTCATAACGAGGTTTAACTGTATGTATGAAAGATAAGGTCCTATGGTATTGCAATGTCAGTCATGAAATCTGGTGTCTCTCAGCACTATCGCGGAAAGCTTGGAGAAAATCGAGCATTCGTATGCGCTTGACGGATTACAGAACACATACTTCGGGAAGGCGGTACCAGCAGCCGCGACAATGATTCTTAATCAAACCTCCCGGCCACCGATTCCAACTAGACCATGCATGACAGGATCTGGCTGGTCAAAGTACACACTAACTCTGTTAAATACACAAGTACACTTTCTTTCTGTACCATTTCATTTATTTTGAATGCATATTCTACACACATTAGGACCGTATGTTATCTTATATAATTTCTCATGGGTCCATGAAACATCTGCATAACTTGCGAACCTTTTTTCCAAGCTCCAAAATAAAAAAAAAAGTGCTAAATTTATGCGAGTAAATACGGTACTTAAAATTGACACACATATATACACAAACTCACCAGTTTCAACAATATCAATACAAAATTAGAAGAAAAAAAAGTTCCCAAGTGCTGCTTCCCACCTTAAAAATACTGCCTGTAAGATGTAGCCAACTTGGAACAGCATAGACTTACAAGCAACACACTTGTTTCCCATATTTACTGTCAATTTTGCCTCCTGCAAAAACTTGTCCGAATAAATAGGCTGCCATCCAATAGAGAGCTGGTGCCACATCACAATGAAAAAGTCAAGGTCACAGATTTTGTAAGCAATTCAGTGGTTATGTGAAAGAGCGAACCCAGATTCCTAAAGATTCCAAGAAATCTATACCACTGACAGGGACCTGGCAAGTGACTCTAAGCGCACTAAGGGGAGGGCGTGCAAGTGATTGTATTCTGATCCTAGGACCATGCAGTTTCTCAGGCTGACTGGTACAGTTGCATCATCAACCGTTGCTCAACACCAGCATTTTTCAACTCCAGTTTACTGATCTGATAAATTGCATACCATATCGCACTTTTCCAGCCTCTCCCCAATATAAGTTACTGGGTCAAATAAAATAAATTGAGAGAAAGAACTTGCTTTGAGTTTCATTTAGGTGCGACGAACCTCGAGACCACAGTACGCTACAGACGGGTTCACAGTTAAAGGTGCACCATGTCCGGATTTCGCTCTCTGGCAAAAAAATAGCGTCTTAGATTTGCATAAGGCTACTGCTGCTTGACTGTTCCGACTCCTTTTGATAGACTGGTACCGGGCACAAACAATGTTCATAAGTATGCTCGCAGTTATGGGACCCACAATATGGCAAGTGATCAATGGAGTGTTCCCTTTAACAGTGGATGGTACTGTACATCAAGGAAGAACTCGAGCCATTGACATCAGCAATGAAGAGAGAGAAATAAATAAAAGGAAGATACGGAGAAGTTAACCTAAAAGAATTGGTTTGCTACCCTGTACAGGGGTGGGGAAATGAGGGTCGAAAAGAGGATAGAGATAAAGAGATATAAAATAAATTAGGAAAAAAAAAATACATATGCACACACATGCAGGGAGCTCTGATTACAGTCATTTGGAGAGGCCAGTTGAACGCAAGAAGCGCAGGAGCGCCTTCACAGCCTTCTTATGGGACATAAGGTTCTGTCAGTAGTGCAGGACTCTTTCTTCCGAAAGAGTCTGCTTGTCCAGTTCGTCTAGTGTAGTGCAGAGTGACTGTCTCTGCGAGCAGCATCGTGGGCATTCGCACAGAATATGCCAAGTTGTTTCGTCATTCACAATGGCCACATGCAGCAGTGTCAGCCATTCCTATGCGGAATGCGTACGCATTGGTAAATGCGACACCCAACCATAATCTGCTCAGCATAGTAGCGTCTCGTCGGCGAAGTTCTGAATTATTCGAAGACCGAGAGTTGGGTCTAAGGTACATAATCGTGCGTGGGTGAAATGCGACTCTTGCCATTGCGACATGGTGCATTTGCGAGCAAGCATGCAGAGTTTCTGTGCAGTGTCAGTTCTGGAGAGAGGAATTAATATTTGATTGCTTTCAGTGCGGGCAAAACGGGCAGCTCGATCGGCCCATTCATTGCCAATTATTTCACAATGACTTAGAAGCCATTGAAAGGCTATTTCATGTCCTTTCTCAATTAAATGGAGAGTCTCTTTTGCAATCTCGAGCACCACTTGTTTGTACGGGTCGTGGCGTAAAGGTGATAGAAGGGATTGCAGTACGACCTTAGAGTCACTGAAAAGTGTTCATTTTTGTAGCTGTTGATCACTAATGAATTGCAATGTGGCACAAAGAGCTGTGAGCTCCGCTCTTTGTGGCTTTTATTGGTATAACAAAAGATGCTGTTGAACTGTTCTGTAAAACGGAGCCATCGAAGTATACATGTATACAGCCTTGGTACGTCTCGTATAACAAGAACAGAGCAAGTTGCTTAAGTGCAGGGGACGATCTATCTGCTTTTTTTCTGAATGCCAGATATTGTTAGCCTGATCCTAGCCTCAGTCAGGCTCCAAGGAGGAGTCGAAGGCCTGGCAGTGGGTGTGAAGAATGTTTGCAAAGAGCCGCGATACATCGTTACCGTTTGGCAAAAGGACGAACGTGGTCTGTCTGCTGGTAAAGAGGCTAAGTGGTGACAGGGTGTCTGAGCAATATGCCTTATATGTGTCCCGAGTGCCTCAACGCCAATATGTGTCGCGATGAGGTGGTCACCGGCGATTGCTATAAAAGCCATTGTCGACACACTACGAGGCATGCCTAGGCAAATCTGGAGTCCCTGGGCCTGAACACTAACTTTTGTAGGCTTGTTTTGCTTGCATTGGTAAATGCCGGTAAGCTGTACTGCAGGAAACAGAGAAAAAGTACCCTGTACAGCTGTAGCATTGCACTGGATGACATTCCCCAAGTCTTCCCTGCAAAGAACTTCAGTAGATTACAGATGTCTACTAACCGTTTTTTCATGTAGGAGACGTGCTCGCTTCATGATAGATTCCTGTCAACTATGACGCCCAAAAACTTGTGCGATCGAACGTATGGTACAATTTGGCCATTGATGCTTATGGTGTACTTATTTATAGGCTTTCGTGCAAAAGATACGAGGGCGCATTTCTCGGAAGAAATTTCCAAGCCTCGATTTCGGAGGTAACAATGTGTCAGTGGCAGCTTTTTGAATTCTCGCTCGCAACTGCAGGCGTGTTACAGCCGATGCCCAAATGCAGATATCATCTGCGTACGTTGATAGCCCGAGTGTGCTTGGCAGATGCTCAGTAAGAGTAATTAGCGAAAGATTGAACAGCACAGGGCTGAGTATGCCACCCTGAGGGACGCCACGGTGGCTGTAATGTGGAGAGGCTTTACAGTCTTCAGTGCTCACAAAAAAGGATCGCATTGACTAGATAACTACGTATCCCACGATACATCCGACCACCTACTCCTACATCTTCGAGAGCGGTGAAGACTGCTTCATGCGTAACGTTGTCATACGCCCCTTTGACATCTAGGAACAAAGATGCAAAGAGACGCTTAGAGCCTTTCTCGTGTTGGACGTAACTGACCAGGTCGACTACGTTGTCAATCAATGATCGACCACGCCGAAATCCTGCCATGGCATCTATGTAGATGTTGCACTCCAAGTAGCACTCAAGGCGTCCCAGGATCATCCTCCCCATAACTTTGCCTCCACAACTGGCCAATGCGATCGGACGGTAGGATGACAGCTCCAACGGCGACTTGCCTGGCTTCAGGAATGAAACTAGGCAAACCACTATGAATATGAATATGTTTGCACTTCTTACCATAGACTGAGCCAGACGTAACGTGACAAGCAGCACCATAAGGTGGAGAGCACACAGATTTACCACATCCGACCAGAACTGGAGCCAAAACAGAAATGAACAGCCCGGGGCAGTAGCACTCACCGCGTTCCTTGAGGTTGTTGATGAACGCAGTGGATCCCTCAGGTGGCACCCAGTGGGGGTTGGTCAGCTGAGGAGACAACATGGTCATGTGTTAAAACGGCCACTGCCTCTCTCCAGGCACACTTGGCTAACTGGGACTGCACGTTCTTAGTAGAAAGCATGCATGACCAGATCTGGCTGGTTAAAGTACAAGCTAATTCTGTTGCCTCTGGTAAAGTTTTGGGCAATGATGGATGCTTGCCAACTAGCCCAATCAAACTCTCTGTTAACCACACATGGTTTAGCTTCTTGGAGATGCAATGTACCATGACATTGCGCTATGGTGCTCCCTCCAACTCAGTGGATAAACTTTTTATGCTGCCACTCATTAAGAAAATCACCAGCTTACCGTAATGTAACACTAAAGATGACTGACAGGACTCATTTTCCTTTCGATTTTTTACATTTCTTCAAGCAATCAACTGTAGCTTTCAATAATCAAGCGTGAGATCACAGTATGTGTGCAGGCTAAATCTACTCAAACCGGCAAGAATTATCGGCTGAACAGGCAATAATTATTGCAGTCCAATATAAAGGCTCATTTTCACTGCAGATAAATTTCTTTAAAAAAAAAAAATAAGAAGGGCCGCCTCAAAAATAGCGTAGAGACACACCGTGAAGTGCATGAGAGAAAGCTCAGTTTTTCCATGCTGTGCCCGCTGCTGCTCTGGCTGTGGCTCAACAATCGAAGCGGCTCCTGCCCCACCGTGCTCATCGTCGTCACCGCCGTCATCGGCCCTCCACTGCACGCAAGAAAAAAAAAGCATCAACTCAACACACAGGGCTTTGAACCATCCAAGTATTTGGGCTCCCATCAACGGCGGCACAGCTCCTCTCAACGGACGACTGCAGGAAACGTTTTACTCACCTGAGGACTGCCATGTTTTCGGACGTCCATGAGAGCGAAAGAGCAGACATCCCCGACGCCCACCACCTCCACGGTGAAGTTGCGCAGGAAGTCCACAATTTCCAGCGCCCGGGGCCGCAGGGCAAAGATAAGCACCAGAGGGGTCAGCACGGGGCTGAGCAATTCTTCCAGAATGCGAACCTGCGACGGAAAAGGCCGCATCTTGTGGCAAATGGCCACAACAGAAGGTGCAACACTGGCAGAGGGCACCAAAACTTACTGCTCATTTTGGAATTCCAAAAAGGACAAAAAATATGCAAGCGCACTTTTCTCAATTTGGGCAATATTGTTACAAAGGTTTTGAATATGGCAGTATCGGTGTATGGAGGTAACGATCAAAATTCCATCTGCCTTTTAGCTCCCACCCCACAATGCCTGCTCTTGAAAAGACACCTCACATATGGAGCCATTGCCAAAAGTATAGATTAAACTGCAGCTGCCGCTCAAACTACGGCTAGTTAAATGCAGTACATGATGTATGGATGGGAGATGCAACACCTCAATCAGGAGATCTTCATACACATTGGGTCCCTCCAGTTCTCCCACACTGCCTGAACTAGTTCACGAGGAGCTGCCTCTTGTGCTTCGTCTCAGCGGTGCAACACCTTCTGAACCCCGTAGTTCATTTCAAAAGGCGTAGGAGAAATGCAACGCTGGTTTACGATTTTTCTTGCCCTTTTCAGCTAATAGTGCCGACTTTGGGCAGATGTGTGGACCAAACAATGTAGTATTCAGACATAGACACCGCAGCTGCACCTACTCCGATAAAGCTCTTGCACAGGCAAAAAACTAGAAATGAAGGATATGGGCACATTGCCAGGAGGAAAGCGGCTAGCGCCTCCGACTACAGCCCCACCGCTAGAGGATCCTGAGTGCGGGGACAAATTAAAGTGGCTGGTTTTCACACCTCGCGATTTTTACCACGCTAGTTGAGGTTCCCCTTCCACCAAAGTAAAGTCTGTCTTTCGGTCTGCTTCCATACACGAAACGACCACACTTCAAATGAACAAACTTGATGTTTCCTGGGTTTCTTGGCTTAATGTTTTGCTTGATTTCTGCAGCTGTCCCTATTGAAATTAAAAGCTAGCCTTTCAGTTGCCTCGCTCTTTGCACATAATCACTACTTTCCCCTCATGGCTGCACATAAAACCAACTCACAGCCTTGTACTGGAAGAGGTGGGCAAACTCGTCCCGCACGACGGTCGTGTGGCACAGTCCTTTCCAGTGGTCGGGCATGTAGTGGATCTGGGCAAGGATGCTGGTCATGAGATGCTCGGGCCGCCACACCAGGTTCTCGTCGGGAATCAAGCTTCGGGCAACAGCCACTATGATGCCAAGCACCGTGACAATCATAAGCATGTGCTCCATAGACAGCACATCCTCATCGACGATTGTCAGTACCAGTAGCACCGCCAGCGGTGCCCCCGCAAAGAACGTCACGCTCCTGCACACCAAGATGGGAGTTTTCGCAAGGACTGGTTTGTCTGGTCAAATTTCGAAACAAATGTGCAAGTAATCGCAAAACATGTTTATGGTCGTGACATGACAAAGCCAGGCAGAGCGCGTGATAAAGGATTTTCCTGAGCTGGTAGCCAATTATGCTTCAAATATCAGACCTCAATAGTTATGACAAGGCATGTGGAAATATTAGAGCCCTTTGAATTTCGAAGTATTCGAAATTAAGAAATAGACATAAACTGCATGTAACCCCCTGCACAAGCGGTTGCACTGCAGTAAAAAAGTGCTATACCATGAATACGTCTATCCACGGAGAATCCGTACTGCCGCGAAGCCACACTTTAAGGCTAAGAGCCTTGGTTAGTGTAAAACTTCTTAAAAAATAAAATTTTGTTTTTTGCTTGTTTGAAATGATAAGGCCTTTCTTAAATATGTGCAATGCCCCACACACTTGTGCGTGCTTTGATTGAGCCAAAAAGACCAGGTTTTTAAGACCAACTTACAAGAAGCCAAGCTCCTCTTTCTAAATGGTGCACAATCTCAGTTTTCTGCCTCAAGTTATTTTTTTTGATCAAGACTGGTAGTTTCCCTGAGCCTACAGGTTTTCCAATAAATATTCTGGCTACTCTCCTACAGTTTCCAAGCCAACTTACCTTGTGTGTGCAGGGAGTACAGGGAGACAATGGTTCTGTGCATTTATTTTGAGTTCAGTTGGGCCTTTGATAATTTTGTCGCGACAGCAAAATATTTTCTTGTGTTGACGACTAAAATGTTTGGAAAGCACAGTGTAATAGGAAATTGACAAGCATCAGCTACCAACAGCCCTTGTGCGAGCACTTCAGCAAGTAAGCATTGTTCTTATTGGGCGTCACTGCAAGAACAAATAGTCAGTTGAATTGGCAATGGCTATGCCTTAAACAAGTACCGTATATACTCGATTCTACCTCGCCCTCGATTGTAACGCGCACCCGGTTTCCACGACAAAAAAAAAAAAAAAAAGTAAGACATCGATTGCATTGCGCACCCATTTTTCTTGTTGGCCCACACGATTACACCGCTCAGGAAAAGAGACTCCTTTCGGGAGCGTCTTCCGTTTAAATATGAGGTACGGGAGAAACTTGTGCCTATCTGACGTGCAACGGAGCATTGCCGTCACTCTAGTTTTACCGTGGCCCAATGTCAGCACGCGAACTTGCTTCGTTCCCTTCTTCTCGACGGTTGTGGAGCCAGGCATGTCGAAGTAAAGAGGCGTCTGATCGGCATTCCCGATTTGCCCAAGAAGGGAGCCATTGTTGTGTCGCAAGTTTAGGACGAACCTCTGAAAACTGAAGCTTTTCTTCGTACTCCTCCGGCAACTTTTGGCATGTGCCCGTTCGCTTTTAGAGGGAAAAGCCTTTCCTCTTCATAAAGTTAGTTAGCCAGCACCTGCTTGCTTTAAACTGGCTCCGCATTAGCCCTTTTTCTAAGGCTAGCTGCATAGCTTGCACTTGGAGCAGTTCTGTCGTCACGGGCCGCAGTGCCGCTCACTACTCAATCACATACTCGCCGAGCAGCTCTTCAATTTGCGGAACTTTGCTGTCGACAATATTCTGCTTTTGTTTCCACCAGTCCCCCACGCACGTTTCGGGAACTCCGAACGACCGCGATGCAGCCCAATTTACGTCCGTTCCGGCACACGCGATGACTTTTCTCTTAAAAGCGGCATAGTGGTGCACTCATCGAGTTTTTGGAGTCGGCCCTTCCATGCCATCGATGCTAATGCACACCAAGATGACGAACTCCTCGGCACACATACGAAGTGCCACACATAGGAAACACATAGGCAGAAATGGCTGACGCGCCATGACGACGCATGTATGGGGCGGCCATTTTGGAATGCCGATGGCAATAGAATGACCGTATTCATTTTTTTTTCGTACGCGATTCTAACGCGCATGCGATTTATGAACTCGCTTAACCGGAGAAAAGGTGCGCATTAGATTCAAGTAATTACGCATGCGATTTATGAACTCACTTAACCGGAAAAAATGTGCGCATTAGATTAGAGTAATTACGGTAACTGTTTCTGATCAGAATGCAGAGGAGCTGAGTGTACAACTCATAATGAACACAACGAATGATGTTCTTGAGAATGAAAACACCCCAGTACTACCAGTTTCCAAACCATTTGAAACTGATGGCCCAAGTAAACGCTGTCAAAGACGTTTGGCATATTACCCAGACGCAACACTATTATATGCTTGGTCGAGACCGCCAAGACAGTACAGCACGTATGACACAAAAACAAAAAACAAAAATTGATTGGTGTGAGCGCTATAAGACAGCTTACTATGAATTTATTTGTTGAAAATCGTCACTTGGTTGCTTGTCATTGAATTTTCCATGATGAGCTCACCAAAGAAACATGCTGAAGATAACCATGATTCCCAAGCTCTCATGATGGAAGAAACTATTTGAAAAAACCTACATAGATGAGCTTTTATTTCTGCTTAGCAGGGTAGAAGATTGGGCTAGTCATGACAAGTGCTACAGTGCGATCTGAAGACGAGGACACGGAGACAAGCGAGGATGAGCACTAAGCCATTTTTACATTTCAAGTGAGTTTTTCTCAAGATGCGGTTCTGGGCGATACCGATGGCCAGAGCCAACTACAGTGTATCTGACAACTAGAATCTTAAAATAAAAAATGCTCCCAAACAAAGGCTCTTGTAGACGAGAGCAATAACACCATGGTCCACTCACTTTGCAAGGATGATCATAATGTGTGAGGAGAAGATGCTCATGTACTGACAGGCAGGTCGGTAGCCTCGACACAACCTGAAAGAAGAAACAGCCGTTTCAAGTTATAATGTTAACGATCCCCAATACAGTGAAATCTCGATACAAAGAATCTCAAGGAACTAAAAACGATTCGTTAATTTGAAATGTCGTTCTAGTGAAATAATAAAAATTTGTGCAAGAACATAAACAAAACCTCGCGAGTTGCCCATTTATACTGCGTATACATTTGTGACCACGTTATGCACTAATAAGCACAAAAAGAAAACAAAACATTATTGAACAAGTGCCCGTTTATTTCAGGAATAACATAATCCATCATAATGTCGCCAGCTCGACTGCTGAAAAATGAACTCTTAAGCGTGCGCATCTTTCTTATGTGCTCACCCTTCTTACGCGTTGTAATGCATTGGCGTTAAATTTCTATACTTCATGTTGGTTCACGTGCACTGTTTCAACGTCTTTGTAGTTGTCGCCGTTTCCTTATGACAAGTGGTACGGATCTTATTGGTTGTCAGTTAAACCTACGTGCATGCTTCTTTGTCCCACTGTGCGTCGTAGTGTTCAAGCATCAGTAAAGCATGCACGACTAATCATCAGCGACTTCATCCCACAGGTCAATCACGTCGCATTTCTCACTGTTGTAGCATTCCTTCCATGCAGCTTTAGGAGCTTATCTTGAACATTCAACCACCAACAAACGATTACAAAACAGCCATGTAACAAGCCCATTGGTAAACCTGCCCGACAAAAACAAAGGCCATGGGGCGAAGCCTAAGAGAAAAAACAAGTACCAGGTGATGATAATGGCAAGAGAGCTATTGCACATTTGAACAAGGTGGGTGCACAAAGAAATAGGCGGGTGTTCTGATGATGATGGTGGCAGGTACGGAGCTAAGCATTATTTCCCCAGCTGCGAGTAACGTTTTAAAATCACTATTCCTTATTTTGAACTGTTGCAGAGATATAAGGGAATAAAATTCAATAAGGTTTTCTGAAGCATTCTCAAATTTGTGGTAGTGAAATATTTTTACATTACACCAATGGGCATTTGACGGGGGATTTTCGAAAACGTCGTTTCCATCAAAGGAGCAAAAGACATTTTGCTCTTTTCATGGAAGCCTTGTTCACAATGAAAATGAAGATGAGTGAAGCTATGTTTATAGAGGCTTTAAAGCGTGATGTAAGCAGCAGGCATAAAGAAGAGAGGGTTCTGCCACTTCAGTTCAATTCGCTATCCATTGTTTAAATCAGGATGGTTTCCAAGTGGTATTTTACAGACACTTTTTTCTCTTTTTCCAAGATTGTGGCGTTATCCCAATCGATTTGGATAATGCCTCAATCTTACGTTTTCAGTGTCTGTTCTGTCAAGGCATTCGAAGAAATTTTTTTTTTTAAATATCATTTACACAATGTTTGACCTGCTGTTCAAAATTTCGTGTCTCGCCGATATATAGTTAAACCTAGATGTACTAGCAAATTTACAAATTGATGAAAAAATTCGGTACTAACAAGTTTCTATTATATTCAGTTTTAGCTTGAAAATTCCCAAAAAACACAAATTAAAAACTGCTTGCCATAGCAATTATATGGGCACTCTCGACAGGTTTCTGCTGTTGCTGTCATGTTCTGTACAAGGTCCAAATTGATAACATGCCCTTGCACACTGTAAAAATATGCGAGTGTGGGCGACGAGGGCTCCTGAAGCAGACGTAAAACGGGCTGTTTCATATCTACCAACTAGAGGGCACATGGGATAACATTCCCCAATGCGTTAGACTTGCCGCCAGATGCTCAAGCAACGCCCCACATGTCTTGAGCAAGCATGAAAAGACGCGGGGAGCTGGGGTATTGTTTGAGCAGCTACAGTGATGTTTATCTTGCCGAAACTAATCATGAACACTGCAATCAATGCACGGAGGTTTAGTGTACTTGCAGTGCAGGACAATAAGATCAAGTTCATGATGAACTACCAGTTTAGATAGCCACCTCATATGTTAAATTGCCTTGCAGTTGATTACCTGTTGGTGGACCCGACGTGAAAGACCAGTCAATACCTCATCGAGGCGATGGTAGTTTAGTTATTACATGGGTCCAGAAGCCTATAGGTTGATATTTTTTGGTGGGGTTGGGGGAGGGCACCTACTTGAAATGGTCATTTTGCTCTCTGCACGGGGAATAATTTTGGGGAGGTAGGGGACAGGCCCGGTGAGCCATCTCCTGGTTACACCACTGCTTGGGCCACGTCTGCGAATGTGCCAAAAAAAAAAAAGTTCATTTCGACTTTCTGACGCTTCTGTTGAAATCGTTGCCATCAGTGGTGCTCCCAAGGGAAGCTCTCATTTGCGTCTGTGATGCGACGGTAGAACACTCCAGCATTTCACGCAAATCAGGGTATATATTTACACTACATAATCCCTCGCGACTAATGAGAAAAAACCTGTACATATGATCCCAGTGAACAAAATATTTGATTATTTCCGAAATCATTGTGTGTGTGGCAGCATTATTTTGTTTGTTTGACCAATATGTTACGTGAGTGCTTATGACAGTCATATTCATGTAAAGTCTCTCGCAGGAGAAAGCGCAGTTCTGTCAAATCATTTAGATCATTCACTGATGCAGGCGTAATTTGACCGATAAAGCACAATGTATTTAGTGCACTAAAAATGCCCCTATTTCATTTCTCATACTTTGGCACAGACAGGCTCAGATCCCAGATTCTATGCCTAGATGTAATAACATTAACACTTCTTAGCATATTTTCTTAGTACCCATTCTATGGTGTGTGAAATAAAAACAACGAACGTCTTCGCTTGCATTACCAAGTTCACAATAAATTTTCCGTTCTGATGGAAGTCTGTCTATACTAAGCTAAATTATGGAAACTTCTTACAGCTTTAAAAGCTTTCACTAGTTGTGAAACCTTGCACCTTGTATGTTGAGAAATTTTGCACAAAACTGAGGAATAATCGCCATCATATGGCTAAAGAGCGTGTACACGGTTGCAGAAAAAGGCAACAAGCGCCGGCGGAGCGGGCGAGTCTGTACCATGACGTCACATCGCTGCGACTGCAGCGATGCCAGTGTTCGTTCTCGGGGCTAATTCAGCTGTGGAAGCGGTGAAGGCTTCGTGGACGGCGGCGACGGCCACATGTATGCGAAACTGTTTTCGCGAGGCTGACTTCGCCGACGTCAGACTCGATGCCAAGCCTGAAGCTTCCCTACAGGACTACTCTGGCGGTGATTTGTGGCAGCGCACGGTTGACTGCAACAATGAAAGGCGTGCAGGCCATCTGTTCTCATAATTTCATTACAATCGATAACAATGCCGACACTGCGGAAAGGCATGCAAGGATGAGGGCATTGTGAATGAAGTGCACGGTAAGAGCGATTTGGAGGAATCTGATGGCCAGGACGATGAAACTTTGGAGCCAAAGCCAACAAGCGTGTTTATAGCAATTGGCCACATTAATACCCCCAGGCAGCTTGTATATGCCATGGGCCTCGACCAACAGCACACTGTCGCTTTAAATAAACTCGAGACCATCCTTACCATTTCTACTCTTTGAAATACAAGCATCACGGACTTTTTCGGAAAAAAAAAAAATGTGTTTTCTCTAGCAACAATTTTAAAGCTGTGTTTCATTTACTACAAACTTCGGGATACAGCAAACGGATGCCGCATCACGCTCAGGTTCGTTATAAGCGTGCTCGACTGTACTATCAAATGCTATTCATAAATGCGCTCTGTGTATGCAGCGCGGCCACACACATGTGACGAGAACTTGAAGCTCAACAACGCAGAGCAAGAGGTTTTAGGTGCTATCACCTTGTGTCACTTTAATGAGGTGCAGTTCAGGGACTTGCGCAGCAATTGAAGAGTGGCGCTGCCAACACAAAAGCCGTTTTGTTTTTTTGTTATTGGTTTCAAGGGAGCTGGAGGGTGCAGACATGCATTTGACCGGGCGGCAAGAACAGCGGCAACGGCAGCTCGAGAGGCGCAGGCCCACTTACCTGCCTTGTGCCCACCTGCACGCTGCAGCCCACTAATGAGCCCTTGCTCTCATCTCACAGATGCTAAGGCTACAAGCTACTACGAGTGCGAATACCGCCACTTCACGCTTCAACAGTGGCGGGGAAACCGCAGAGAATGCAGGCTTATGCCAAAATGACAAAATCCAGGGCAAAAATACTAGGTATTCAGTTCGAAGGTTACTAGATGCTCCCAGTTGTCAAACTCCGCTGTGGTGCCTGACCACAGCGAAGTTACCCCGCAAAGCGGCGCGCGCCTTTTTCTTTGCTCATGTTATCTACTTATGCGCCAAGATATCGCGTGCCTTCTGAGCAAATACTACGCCATCTCCCTCTAAAGGCGATGCTAGGCATCGCCATCTCTCTTTAAAGCGGCCCTGCAACACTTTTTGAGCATGGTAAAAAAATGCTGCCGATCTGTAGTAGAGTCTCCCAACAACACGCGAGCCAAATATTATAGCGCAGCACGCAGCCTGCAATTCACAATAACTTATCAGTCAGCCAAAAAAAGCTTTCTCTCCTCTCGACAAATCACTGAATAAGCCCAAAATTCACTCGTAAGCCCATCTATCAGCCATTGGCTTATGTGAACATGGCGCGCTAGGTTGTTACAGAGGTCGCAACAAGAGGCCATCACTTGTCCATGCGTGCGATCGCAATGAAGAAGTTGCGTATTCGAAGCAAAACAAAAAGTGCTCAAGGTCATGAGGCGCACGCTTGACGTTTTTCTGTGGCTCTGCCATCCCTCCCTGCTTAGCTTCCAGCGCTTTTGTCGGGACAATAGAATATAGAATGCAATAGCAGCATGCGACAAACTTTGTAATTCCACTTACACTGGATGAATTCTTAAAATTTTTGTGGCATTGGATTCATGAGGCAATAAGCTCTTCAAGTGCATTCCTTCCATGGTTACTTGAAAAAGTGTTTCAGGGCTCCTTTAAAGGCAATGCCCCATCGCCTCCCTCATGAGGTGATGCGACGCAGCACAGGGGTGCACACCGCGT